CCTGATGACTGAAGATGAAATTAACTGGCCTGGCCCTTTTTTTCCTTGTCACATTGACCCCAGATTTTTCTTAAAGTCTACTTGTCTGGCATTAAAATGTCTCCCCAGCTCTCTTTTGGATATTATTTGCATGAAATATTTCCCCCATATTTTTGCATTCAACCTATTTGTGTCTTTATACCTAAAGTGTGTCCTTTGTAAACAGCACAGAGTTGGATCATGTTGTTTTGTTTTTTAAATCCATTGTGCTACTCCAATTACATTTAACAGTTTGTAAACTTTAGTAACACAAGAAATTCTGTGTCTGTAGGTAGTACTACAATAATAGTTGGAGACTTCAACACACTAATTTAAATATTTGATTGAACATCTAGAAAGACGATCAACAGGGAAACAGTGGACCTACATGACACTGTAACCCAACCAGTCTTAACAAACACGTGTACAACATTCTATCCCCCAACCACAGCACAAAATCCTTCCAGGCCCTCCCTTATTTCTATTGTTATTTTAATTACATATTTATGATTCATGTACACTGTAATGTTATCCTCACCTTTTTTGCATGTCGTTAAAAAGTATGAAGAACAAAATAATTAGAATTATCAAGCATGAATACCTTATTAGTAGCCCTTCTACTCATCCGTTCTCTTTATGGGGCATCTGAATTATGTTCTAGTGTCTTTCCTTTTCCATCTCTCTCCCATTAGTGTTTACTTTAGGGCCTCTCTGATGGGTGTGAACTCTCTCAGCTTCCATTATACTGGGAATGTTTTAATTTCATCTTCATCCTTCAAGGACAGCTTTACTAGGTATAGTATTTTTGGTTGACAGTTTTGCTTCCCTTTCGGGATGATAATTATTTCACTTCATTGCCTTCTGACCTCTAATGCTTCTGAGGAAAAGAGTACATATACATAGGAGGAGGCTCTAGAAGTTCATGGGAAAATCGAATTCAATGACATAAAATCTTTCTGTGAATTTTTTGAAGCTCCTTTGTATGCACAGTATCCATAAAATTGTTTTAAATGTGTAAAGCCGACATTACTTTATTTGAATCGCTATGCCAGCTTTCCTTGTTTATTGCTAGCACGTTATAGCTTCTCTTAAATCTCCTATAACCTGTATCTAAGTTGTATCTCTTGGTAGCATTAAGTTGAATTTCACTTTTCTCCATCTAGTCTGAACAAATGGGGAAAAAAATCTAATTGTCTTATTAGTTGGAATCTTTGGTCAGTATGCATCTAATGTTTTTACTGGCATGTTTGTGTTTAATGATACCATATTACTTTTTGTTTTCTATGTATCACATCCATTTGTTCATCTTTAATATTCTATTTTCTAGATATTTGGTTATACTTTTTTTTTAAAAAGATACTTTTATTGGGGGCTCTTACATCTCTTATCACAATCCATACATTCCTCCATGATGATACATTCTATTGCTATTCTTTCATTGGTTACTTTGGCACCACACCAGGCACCATCAACTTGAACCCTAAGGTAAAATAGGTTTGTCGTTATGCAGACAATGCAATGATCTTTGAACCCTTTAGCTTCTTTTTGATACTCTTGCCTTTTGTGGTATTGTTAATAAGTATTTTAATTCTGTCTGTATATGAAATTCTAGAAAGCATTTTATTTTCTATAAGTCATACTTGCTTAGATCCACCAACATATTTATCCTCTCCCCACTGCTCTTAAATCCTCCCTGTGTGTCCATGCTTTCACCTGAGATCACGTTCCTTCTGGCTTACATGTTTCTTCAAGTGCAGATCTGGTAGTATTGAACTCTGTTCTGTCTTCAAACTAACATCTCTGCTTTCTAACACTTTAAGGAGGTCTTTTGCAGCAGATTGGCCCAATGAAATCTGTCATTTGATTTCTTTTATTTATTTATTTTTAACAATTTTAAGTCGTTTTCTTGGGGGCTCTTACAGCTCTTATCCCATTCCATACAGCAATTGTATGAAGCATATTTGCACATACAGTGTGTTGCTATAATTTCTAAAACATTTTCTTTTTTTAAAAATCATTTTACTGGGGGCTCATACAACTCTTATCACAATCCATACATACATCAACTGTGTAAAGCACATTTGTACACATTCCCCTGATCATTCACAAAAAATTTGATCTCTACTTAAGCTCCTGGCATCGGCTCCTCATTTATCCCCTCCCTCATGAACCCTTGATAATTTATAAATTATTATTTTGTCATGTCTTGCCCTGTCCGACGTCTTCCTTCACCCACTTTTCTGTTGTCTGTCCCCTAGGGAGGAGGTCACATGTAGATCCTTGTAATCGGTTCCCTCTTTCCAACCAACCCTCCTTCCACCTTCCCGGTATCACCACTTGCACCACTGGTCCTGAAGGGATCATCCGCCCTGGATTCCCTGTGTTTCCAGTTCCTATCTGTACCAGTGTTCATCCTTTGGTCTAGCCAGACTTGCAAGGTAGAATTTGGATCATGATAGTTGGGGGCGGAGGAAGCATTTAGGAGCTAGAGGAAAGTTGTATTTTTCCTCGTTGCTACATCGCACCCTGACTGACTCGTCTCCTCCCCGAAACCCCTCTGCAAAGGAGTTTCCAGTGACCTGCTAATGGGCTTTGGATCTCCACTCCGCACTCCCCCCATCATTCACTATGGTAAGATTTTTTGTTCTGATGATGCCTTA